CATGGTCTTCTTTGTGCCCCCAGTGCCAGGGTGACTTTTTATCCAGTAATCTGTGTAGGGGTTCAGCTACTGATGCTTTATGGGGCAAAAAGGATGCATAAAAGTTCAATAGCCCCAAGAACGCCTGTAGTTCAGTTTTGGAGGTTGGAGTGGGTGCCTCGTGGATTGCCTTAACCTTGGACTCCAGGGGGTGAATGCCAGAGGCGTCAATTTTATAACCCAGAAAGTCCACCTGTCTAGTGGCAATGGCACATTTTTCTTTTTTCAACTTGAGGCCATGCTGTCTGAACCTCTCTAACACAGCTCGAACTCTTTGGAAGAGTTGGGGTCTGTCCCTGGCCGAGACTAAGATGTCATCGAAGTAGGGTACTACACCAGGGAGGCCCTGCAAAATCCGCTCCATGAGGGATTGAAAAATACCAGGGGCAACACTTACGCCAAATTGGAGACGCTTGCATCGGAAGGCACCCCTGTGAGTGACAATTGTCTGGAGTTCCGCTGTTTGGTTATCTACAGGGAACTGCTGATATGCTTGAGACATGTCCAATTTAGCAAAAATGCTGCCTGGTTCGAATGTGTGTAATAAGTGCTGGATGACGGGCACAGGATAAGCGCTAACTTGTAGAAATTTATTGATTGTCGTCTTGTAGTCCGAGCAAATTCTCAGGCTACCGTCTTTTTTGAGGGGTGTGACAATGGGCATCTCCCACTTGGCGAAATCTGTTGGCTCAATGACCCCTTGTTTTAATAGTTTATCCAATTCTGCATCTAGTTTTGGCCGAATAGCAAATGGGACCCTATGCGGTTTTAGCCTGATTGGGACTGCTTGGGGGTCAACTGAGAATGAGATGGGGGTACCGTTATAACACCCCAGCTCTTCGCTGAATACATCTGAGTAATCAGCGAATAAGGAGTCAGTGTCTGAGGTTGAGACAGCATGGACTCCTGTTAGCCCTAGGCCGAGATGGGGAAACCAATCGAGCCCCAATAAGGTGGGTAGATTGCCGTTAACTACCACTAGAGGTAGGTGACCTTTAAAAGCTTTAAAACTGACAAGAAACTTGCCTCTGCCGATTACAGGAATGGTCTTCCCCTGGTAGTCCTTCAGGCCAAACTGGCATCTCTGGAGCCGGCTAGTGGATAGGCTTGGTTGGAGCCTCTTAAGGGTGTTCCACGAGATAATTGAGAGCGCTGACCCTGTGTCAACCTCCATGCGGCACGGTTTACCTTCTAGGGAAACGGAGAGAGAAATTTTACTAACAGTGTGGCAAGTGTGCTTGGCAAGGTGGTGCGTGCGACAGTTCAGTACTTGCCTCTGTGGTCCCGAGTGCGAGGGAGGGCGCCTTTGTGCTGCGCTTTGGGGGGCTTGGCAGACTCTCACGATGTGTCCCCTTTTATGGCAGTTATTGCAGGTGGCTCCTTTAAACTTGCAGGTGGCCCTCTGATGAGATCCCCCACAGGCTAGGCACAGGGTGATGTGCTTGGGTGGACCGATGTTTTCTTGTTTGGCTCCTACCTGCGGCCGTCTGTCGTTGGATAGGCGGTGGACTTCGTTTTCATCACTGATGGTTTCCTCTGCTACCACCTCCTCGGAGTGGACTGGGAGTGATGTCAGCTTGGCACTTGGGCCCTGGATTTCGGTGGCTGAGTTTGTTGCCAGCTCAGCTGCCAAGGCTTCCTCGACTGCTTGTGCAAGGTTAAGGTCTTTTTTTGCGAGAAGGCGCCTTTGCAGGTGGAGGTCCTTGACCCCGCAGACTAATTGATCGAGGAGCATGTCCTCCAGGTAGGTTCCAAACCCACAATGCAGTGCTGCTGTTCTGAGAGCGGCCATATATTGATTGATGGTCTCCTTGCTCGATTGCTTCCTCATACGGAAGGTGAACCTCCTGGCAATCTGTGAGGGCCTGGGGGAATAGTGGTTAGTGAGAATTTCAAGTAACTCAGACCACGGAACGTTTTTCAACTCACGAGGAGCCACAAGCGCTGCGGCAGTATCGTAGACGGTGGTTCCACAGTAGATTAGGAAATACGATTTTTTCCGATGCTCTCCCGCATCCGCCAGGCCAACTGCATCGATATAATGATTAAAGCAGTTCTTATACGACTCCCACTTCTCCTCATCTGGTTTGAACGCCGGGAAGACTGGATTGGAACTCATGGTGCTGGGACCGGTTGAACAACCTGAGGAAAAGATCTCTCTGGGCAGCAGACAATGTTTTAGTGCCCGTGGTGGGCAAGTGATTTCAGCTCAGGAGAGGCTGTTTGCAATCCTCTCTTCTCTCTGGGTTAACCACGTTTGGCTGTTAGCCGTTGATGGCGTTTGGATTCGCGCCTGAGTGGGCGTCAGTGACTGGCTACAGCGCTGTGCTGTACCTTTTAGGTTTGAAATTCAAATGACAACCGTTTGAATTTCGCGCCTGATACTGAGCGGCTGCGGCTCGCAACACTTCACTTTCCCTGTAGCTGGGCTAACAAGCGGCTACAGACGCTTCTAACTTTCGATTCTGACCGCTCTCTCTGGCTGCGGATCAGCGTTTGCTTCTTATCGCTTGCTGGCCGCTTTCTCTGTCAGCGGATCAGCGTTTGCTCTTTTTGTTTGCTCTTTTTGTTGGCTGACTGCTCTCTCTGGCTGCGGATCAGCGTTTCTCTTATCGCCGGCCGATCGCTCTCTCTGGGCTGCGGATCGGTGGCTAGTGACTCAGCGGTTGCATGGTGCTTCTGGTAGCCATCCCACCTTCGTCGCCAGTGTTAAGTTTGAGCAATGAGAGGCTGAACCAGAGCATGAGTGCAACAATACTTTATTATAACAATAAAGGGCTGACTGTGCTTGCCACGCCTGGAACTGGCTCGCAGCAATCAGCAACTGGTTGGACCCTGCAGCCTGCTTTTATAGCTGGCTGCTGGGGAGAACCAACCAACGCAAAGTGAGTGGACCTGAGTGAGAACTCCTAGAGTTCTCAGGACATAACAATAGTCATTTATGATCATGTTAAGACTGCAGTGATAAGAACATCTATTTCTAAGATTATACCTCCTTGAACATCGTGGATCTCATATGAAAGTAAAATTTCTGACATTAAAGTGAACTCATAAGCATGTCTATTTAGAAATAAAGCATTGTTCAGTTCAGTGAGTTTTAGATGGCTTAACACCATTAAAATGAATATCAGCAGAACTTCATGGAGGTTGACAATATTTTGAATCTATCTGATATTTGTGTGGCATAGAGCCCAGGTACTTGAGAGATGTCTGTCTTCTACAGCATCTGCCTGTCCTATATGATCAAAGAGATTTGCCTTGCTTTGGGTCCTGATAGTTAAGCGATGTCATCTGGAATAGATGGGTCCACAGTTGCCCTTCCAGTGCCTTTCCTTTGGAATAGCATCTCCACAAATATTTGTTTAAAGCAAGCCATAAAAATACATCTCTTCCCTAACGCCAACCCAGGTGGTAGATCTTTCTTGACTGAGAGTGAAGGAGGTTGGTTTTTTTTTTTTCTCCATTCTTCCCTTGGAATGATTGGACCAGGATGTGTGCTTTTCTCTATTGTCTGTTTGCAAAGCCACCTAGAATTATTTTTGGAGTTGGAAAGTCTAGAAATTGGAGATACATAGATGGGTAGATAGATGATAGGTAGGAAGGAAGATAGATATATGGATGGTCGAACGGACAGACAGGAAAGACTAAGGACCTGTGCTTTGTTCTGACCTAACTGATCCTTCCTATCCTGTGTTTCATTCAATTTTAGACCTGCATCTTAACCCTTCGTGTGTGTCTCTACACCTGTCTATTATGTGGTAAAGTTACTATATACAACAGTTCAAAATACAAGATTAATAAGTTACTTTTCCATGCTGATTATTTCCTGAACAGATTTGTTCCATACAAAGAAGGCATAGTGACCCAGCAGTTGTTCCATGTGCAAGGAGGAGAGTGGGGGAGGCAGTCTTACTGGTTCTCCTTTCCCTCCAGTGATTTCTCACACTGTTCTGGTAAAGTCACCTTGTAAGTCCATGCAGAAAATATTGGAGCAGATGGACAAACAGGCTTGGTACAAGGCACTCTTCCTGTGGTTCTGATAACACTAAAGCTGATTTGTTTCAAGTGATGTTAAAAAGTTCAGTATCTTAAAATGTTTGTTTTTCCAATCAGGATTTTTTTTCTTCAGAAGTCAACACTAAGTAGGAAAACAAAGCAGATTATAAACACACACCCTCACATATACCAACATTCAAATTACAGCATGCTAAATTGACTTGGGAAACGACTTTTTAACCTGCTATCCAGAACAGCCTTTCCTAACCCAATACCCTCAGATGTGGTGGAATGAAGCTCAGTTAAACTTAGTTGCCAGGAATGATATGAGATGTGTACTGAATAAAAAAAGTTGGGAGCAGCTAAAAGAAAAATTCAAAAATACTGTTATTCCAACAAAATGTTTCCAGCCACAGAAATGCTTTTTACAGAACTTTTTGCAGCCTTCATTCTGTTGCCTGATTATTATTTTTTGTAAACTACTCCAAATTCTCAGAGACTATGAAACAAGCAGGAACTGGAGAAGCTTTACTTATTCTCACAGTCCAATCCCTGAGGTTCCAAACCACTGAACTCTGTTGACTTCCCTGAGACATTTTTAATACCTGTTCATAAACTAGAGAGAATGAACGATAGAACAATCCCTTAGAAACACAAACACATCTCAGAGTAGCTGTTTATCGATGGAACTTGATAAGAGTGATAATGAATGAGGTGCCAATTCCTGCCCTTGGAGATTTAAAAAGAAAAATACGGCTGCATTTTAATGTGCCTTTCTTTACCTCGGCGGTAGCCGCCCATTGTTCCCAAAGACAGTCATAAATAAAAGTAAGCTTGCTGTTGTATGCAGTTTAATTTGTCCTTTAAGTTTATCTATTTGCTTTCGCACCCAGTTTCCAAATGCATAGGCATTTTTTTCTGTGAGCTAGCATTATTAAATTGCACGTATCAATCATTCTTACCAGGATTGCCATCGCCAACTACATTAAAGAAGTCAGAGAAGTCTGGTTTCAGCAGTCCCTCGCCTTCACAGACCTCCTCCCTTGGAACGGCATTCACCCAGCATCATCGACCTGTCATTACAGGACCCAGAGGTGAGGCCTTACCAAAGCATCCATGAGCTCTTGTTCCGTGGCACCTTTGTCCTCAGGTTGGGATATATGAGAACATTCATCCGGTGTGGTGGTGTCATGCCCCTGTCGGAGTCTGAATCCGAGGAGGAAGCCAAACAGCTGACAGGGATTGGGAGTAGTGTGGCTCCGTTGACTGTGGAGGAAACTGGGGAAGTGCAAAGTCCAGCTGGGCAGAGCAGGGAAGAGGTAGAACAAGGGAGAGGAAATTCAGAGGAAGACCCAGGCCCACACCCTCTTCATCCTAGGGCACACAGGGAGGAATGGAGAAGAAGACAACATGGGTTGCATGGCTTACAGGTGGATTCCTTTCATTAGCCACAGCTAGGAAGACAATTTATAAGAAAGTTAGGCTGCGTGCAGCAGCTGCTGGGAACAAACGTGACTTTATCTTGTGTTGTCGTTGCTTATCTGTGTTCCTGTGTTCCCAATCATTCAAAGGCTGTTCCTGGGAGAGTTTTTCTCCAGCCAGAAGGTAACCTGGACATTGGGGGCAACGTTGGAGCTAACGAAGGGACTCTTTGTTGATTATCTGACTGTGTTGCCTTTGTGCCACACCCCGGGTCATCACAGGTGGTTTTTTGAACCAAAAGTAGACAAGGGCTTGTTAATTTTGTTCCCTCATTTGAACCTAGCTTAGTTTGCTTCATGGCAATCTCAGGAAGACAGATGGAGGAGGTTCCAGCTAATCAGTGAAGTTTTATGACTTGGAAAGATAGACATGTATTTGTAGATATACAGTATATTTGCACAAGGTATTTGTATCTAGTTCAGTAAATCATTCTGTTCTATTGCTTTAAGTCCTTAGCAGTCCATTAGATGTGATTTTATTTTTAATAAGTAGTGTTCATTCTAAGTCTTTAACCTCATTCCTATGGGTCTTTTTAAATGGTTTATAGTATTCTGGTTATTGTTGATTGTTAGAATATTTTGTGACTTAAAATAAAGCAACTGACTCTTGATTTCCTGGGGCTGAATAATTAGATGTAGCTTTTCAAAAGTTGAATTTATAAAAGTTGCACTGTCCACACGCACATACTGTGGTAGAAAAATGAGGTGCATTTGATTTCCTTTTGCTTAAAGGGTTAGGGTTTTTCACTTTGAAAATCTATTTATTCCTTGCTAAAGGCAGGGGCATATATAACACATCTTTTCCTCTTGATAAACATTCTCATTAAAAATGAGAAAGTAAAATAGATACTTGTGACATAATTTTCCTCCTGTTGCAGTGTTGTTGTCTTTTCAAATATATAAATTGTATATACATCAATTACTAGGATTCACATTTAAAATAAAGAAAAGTTGAGATATTGTTTTCCTTAAAGCTGGTTGTGTTTGTCTACCCAGATTTATTATTATAGGAAATTCTTTCAGGTAATTAGGTATAGGCTTCATTCTTAAAAACTTGTTGTAAATGATTATATTATAAACCTTAAGCTCACATGAGAGGCTGGTTGTGTTATTCTCATAGCTTTCAAAACAAAATAACATTCTGCTGGAGAGCTAGATGGGCTTAATTGGTTGTTAATCATGTAGCCAGTTGCTGGGAAGTCCACGTACACTTTAAAAACAACCTTGATAATTGGTGATAATAGCAAGGTATTCATAGTATCAAAGTTACATTAGCAGTATATTCAGCTGTACACCAGCTGATTGCAGTGTCTCATCCTGAAATTTGAACAAGTTAGACTCTCAACAGAATTGCTTCCATAAGATTGCCATTGCTAATATGACATTGCATGCAAACCAGATATGGAGCTCACTTGATCTTGAAAAAGATGACAATTTTTTTTAAAGAAAGAGTATATTTTGAGGGGGGAAAAACGGCAGTCCCATGGCAATTCAAATACTAATAAATGCATATCATAAGCTTTCACAGACAAGAAATCACTTGTTTGGATTGAGTAAGCCTGAAATCACCTGTTTGGGTTGAGTAAGCTTTAGCCCTTGAAATCTGTTGGACTTAAAGTTGCCATATGACTTGGTTGCTAAAATCTTTCCAGCATTCCTATCATATTGTAAACCACCCAGAATCATTGTATTAGTGATAGGTGGCATAAAAATGTAATAAATAAATTGTGATAATTATTGCTATAGCAAATAGATTTTTGAAAGTATGTGAGTGCACTAAAGTTTTATTCAGCTTTCATGGGCTTATTAGGCCCAGCTTTCATGGGCTTATTAGGCCCATGGGCTTATTATCTGTCTCTGGCCAGATTTCTTGAATTAGTGCTCTTGATTATTTTTCTCTTTAAGAAAAATCTTAATATTTTTTTTAAAGCATCCAATGGAAAATTTTGTTGTACTTTTCCATAGAGCACTGATGTGAAAAAGCACTTTTTACTTCAAAGGACAGCTGCATTGAGCAAACTCATCTCAAGCCTTTATTGCCTAAGTTGCATTTCTTGGCCACCAATTCAATTAAGAAAAGCTGAATTTAGTCTGCACTGCTTCTCTTTATTCAGCAAATCTAGACATAGGTCATTGCTAAACAAGAATAAGGTGAAACCTTGACCAGAAATTTTAACAAGGTAGGATTTATGTTTTTGCATCTTTGACTCTTCTAATTAAACTTTAGGTGGATCCATTAGAGTCCTGGGGGTGGGGGGATAATTTTTTTTCCACACACACTCACTACTGCATGACATATTTAAGCTGCTAACATTAGTTGCTCTGTTAATATGTTGTCAGGTAAATTGAATTCCTTAAATTCAAGTTGAGGTTTCAACCATCATGAATTCCACCTCAGCATTTATATTTTGCCCATAAATTAGATTTGGAGTGACAGTTGACTTAAATTATGAAGAGCCCCATGATTACTATTCAATACGAACAGATAAAGAACTAAGGACAGAGAAAAGATAGTTATATGGATAATACGGAAGCAATGGACAAAACATAGACTATTCCAGTCTAAACAGCTACTTTTTGTGCAAAGCGAATTTATGGAAAGGTATATGTGACATGTGCAAGCTGACTGTATATACACCCCGATTATATAACTTGCGATCAAATAGGAAGCAGCTGGAGAGCTGAAAGAAAAACATAAAAGCATCACTTGCAGACAAAGAGGAAGTGTCCTACTGCGTGGATAGATGGATAGCAAGTTTCTTCAGGAATACTCTTTACTAATAAATAAATTAGTCCATGTAATATTTTTATGCTGCACATTTGGAGGTCACATTCAGTTAGTCCATTTTGAATGCAAGATATTTATTTATTTATTTATTTATTTATTTAATCATTTATATCCCACCTTTATTATTTTTACGAAAAACACAAGGTGACGAACATATGCAAGATATCCTCCTCCTATTTTTTTGCACAACAGCCCTGTGAGGTGGGTTGAGCTGAGAGTGTGCGTGACTCACTAAAGGTCATTCAGCTAGCTTTCAATGAGTAAGGTGAGACTTGAACTCAGGGTCCTCCTGCTTTCTAGCTCAATGCTTGAACCACTTAACTAGACCAAACTGGCTCCTATATATGGCAATAAAATTAAGAAGCCATGGATCTTGAATATCATTGCTGTCATTTTTTTTTTAACCATCTAGGAAGTAAAGCAAGTATGGATGAAAGCTGAATGCAATCCAAAATCTTTAGAATCTTTGTTGTGTCATAGAGAACATATCAATAGTGGGATCCTACCTTAGTTGCTACTGGTTTGGTGGGTGATCATGTGCACTCACGCACCCCTAACGCTCACACCCCTAACAAGCCAATCAACTGAGCAGATGAAGAAATGGAAAGCTAGGAATGACCCTCCCACTTTCCTATGCGCTTTTCAGTCTTTTATCCTCTCAGCTGATCAGAGGTGCTTTTTTAAAAAATCCTTATAATCTAAATGTGAAAATAGAGTGTGCTGCAAAGAAAATAGCAAGTCCAACTTCAACGGTATTTCTAATAATGCCTCTGGCACCATATTCATTTGATCCATAAATCTCCCCTAAGAAATAAAAATGTATTGAATATATATTGTATCAATAAAAAGACAAAAGAATCTAAGAATGAAAAGGGAAAACTATGGGAGCCAAAAAGGGATAATTAATACATGAAGAGATTATTTTGCAAGAACTACATTTACAGTTTTTGTCTTGTGAGTTTTTGCTATATTATGTTCTTCATGTCCATGAAATGTTAGAGGGATGCATTTGCCTGGTCATGTGTTCATTTGTACATTCATCTATAGTTCTGAATGATATTCATTTGCTTTTTATAAAATGACTATTTTTTTGTGATTGCCACCATTGTATTCATTGTTGAATAGACAAGCTTCCACTGATTGTTAAAAAAATCCTATAAACATCAAATGAACCCTCTCATCCTGAACAGTCCCATGTCACCAGCTACTTGGGAGGCAGTATCTAATGGTCCATCGAGTCTGCTTTCTGAGGGTTTTTTTTTCTTTTTAATTTATGTATTTATATTATTATTATTATTATTATTATTATTATTATTATTATTATTATTATACAAAAAACAACAGTGTACACAGCAAACGAGATAACTATGCTGGGTTTCATATCACAAATCACTAGACGAACACTTTCCAAGTGTTTAGGACTGCATGATGTATTGGTGGATTATTATTATTATTATTGTTATTATTATTTCATTTTTTTATTTTAATTTATTTATTTATTTTGTCAGATGTTGGATAAGGGCTATCATATAACATTAAAGATGTTATCCTAAGCATGTTTAAACATAGTTACTGACCTACTGTCTTTGCTAGAAGTTGGTTCCAAGCTTCTACTACCTCTTTCTAGCATTACTCTTGAACTTCACTCCTGTCAAGTTTGAGGTTATGCCCCCATGTTCTTGATTTTTGCTTAGTATTGAAAATGCTGCCTTCTGGAACCTTAGTCACACCCTTAATATAGTTAAAGGTTACAATGTCCTCCCCTTTCTCTTCTGTCCTCTAGGCCAGGGGTCTCCAACTTTGATAACTTTAAGCCTGGTGAACT